ATGTTCCAGTGAATAGACCTGTTCTCATGTTTTGGCCAACTGATGCGGCGATAAAAGCTTTGCCTGGCGACCTGATGGTACGACTGACTGAACCTTCACATCTGGAAGATCTGGCTCGATTTGTAAAATACCACGTTGTAACTCAAATTCATGTAAGTTAATCATTAAACTTAAACAAAGATTAAGAATTCCAACGCTTTGACGTAGGACTAACGCCCGAAAAGTCAGCTTTACAAACTCTGTATGGTGGCCAATTTACGTTATCAACTTAGTTGTTGAAAGCAAATAATTTTGTGTTACCCTCACTCGTCGCAGCACCACAATTTCTTTATGAATTGACCTCCTTTATTCGTAAGTGAAAATGTCAATATCTCCAGGGATGGTTTGAAAAAAACTCGCAGATATTTGTATTTGGAATTCATAATCACAAGAAATGGAAATTTAAAAAAGAAAATCTTCCTACAATTTGGCATTAACTCGTGTCTGCCATACACCAACGGAACCACGAAGCAAATTTAGAGACAAAGGTTAATGTTTCTTTTGTAATTAAAGTTTTCTCCCCCTCTCCTCTTTGATTTACAACTCTAATTTTAGGAAGGTTGTGGGTTCAGGGTTTGGAGGATGGGTGTCTAGAAACCCGGAAAACGTTTTTATTTCTTAAACTTGATCCTATTGATATTGTTGTGTGGTTTTTTGTCAGGATAATGGAGGGTGTAGCGACAGAGCGATTTGTCGACAAGCTGGGCCGCAGCAGCAAAGGACTTGCACCTGCAGAAAGTTTTATGTTGGTGATGGCATCAGATGTATTGGTGATCTATCTGAGGTAACGAAAGAATGGCCCTTGAATTGCTTGGTCTGTTAGAGAAACGATAATGTAATCAGTGTAAAGAAAGTTAATTACATTTTGACCGTCACCTGTGGGTGAGATTGGAAATGACGGTTCTGATTTTCACCAGTTAATTGCTTCGGAGGTCTTAGCAGATAAAGAAGTCTAAAATACTTGAACTTTCAACAGGGATTGAATCGGTATATCCCTTCCAGCTGAGCGTTGAGGCAAAATGTAAATGGTTCCTTGTTTCTTGTTTCTTGTAAATGAATACATCACAAATATTTTGTCTAAAATAATAAATATTTTGACCTGTAGATAACATGGTTTGGAAAAATTCAGGCTTTGAAGGTGGCTGAGTGTAGTTTGTCGCTCAAATTTCCAAAACTGACAATTTGATGGAGCAGTGCAAATTGTCTCCAAATCTTACCCGAAGTGTCCACACGCAGTAGTTATTTACCTCGTAGAATAAATATTTCCGAGCTCAACTGCTGTCGCAATTGCAGTTATTGATTCCTTTGTTTTCTTAGGCTTTGAAGCTTGATCCCCAACTGTCAGGTGTAGACATGCTACTCAAGGTAAGGCGAAAGTAGCTATTCATTTTCCTTTCCTTAGTTTCATCTGGAAACAGCTTCAGTAGAACATTAATGAAGTCCACATCATATAGCCGGTAGAAATATTTAAATATTTTAATAACTTTCTGCCAAGCTGCAATTTTTTTTCAAATAACGAATGTTTTTTTCTGAATTTTGAACCATTGTCCTCTAACGTTTTACTTTCTCAGGTACACGATAGATTTTTCTTCAATTCCCAGTGTACTTCGACTTGCCCATCGATCTTTCAGTCCGCCTCTTTGTCTGTTTTTCTCTCCGTTATTCTAATCGTCAATTTGATTGTTCCAGCCGTACTAACAACCTAAATGTATTTTTCATTATTCTAAGATGACTGAGATGCCTGTGTGTGTATTTTGTTTTCCAGAAAAATGGTCTAGACAAGCTGCTGGCTTCTCATGGACATTTTAACCTCCTCGCCCCAGTGAATGCAGCTCTTGGCAGTTTGCAACAGCAATCTCGCAAGGTACTGATAGTAAACTGACGCACAATGTTAGTGGTACCAGATGAAATACAGCGCCAAGTGCATCAAGTTCAAGTGTTGTCCGAAGCTGGTAGTTTCGTGGGAGTCCTGGGCGGCATGGCTTTAAGAAAAAGCACCTTAAACAGAACCGTTTTACCTTACTAACTTACATATAGATTTATGTCTTCGAAAGAGCACTAAAGAAGTTCGAATTCAAGAGAAGTTTTGGCCTGTCTGCAAGTGTTAAATTTGTATCGTGAGAGACTGAATCAAAAACATGTAGTCTGTGCAGGTCACAGTTATCAACTATTTTCATCATTTATTTATTATTTATTATTTATTATTTATTTATTTAGTATTTAGTTATTATTTATTTACTATTTATTTATTTATTTATTTATTTGCAGCGTCGTAGTGTTCCGTTATCAGCCGAGGAAGAGTTGAATCTTTTGAAATACCTTATCATTGGCTGTTCAACGATCCCCACCAACACTAGTAATGCTTATGCAGCTAACTTTACTACACTGCTTGGAGCAACTATATCAGTAAAAACAGAGGTAACTATCTCTTGGGTTCAGCTAAAGAGCTGTAAGTCCACGTTTCAGCTCCTTAAATCTGTTACAAAGTTTTAGACAGGCCTCTGTTGTTTGGGAATAGCCGCGCTGAGTCGCTATTTCCTTTTCCTTTGTTAACTTTGCTAAATTTCTTCCAGGGGAATATTACATCGATCATCGATCCATATGGCAACATATCCAGAGTAGTTGGAGTGTATGAGTCATCAAATGGCGTGATAATGAAACTGGATAACCTACCCAACCCACCCAAGTCTATGGATAGCACAGTACAAGTATGCAACTAAACGTTTTGAAATTATATTTTGTGAAGTCAGGATGGCCAACTGACTTGCAATACGGAGGATTGGATCACTTTTTCCTACGCCCTCCGCAAATCAATAACTTGTTTCGCTAAACTTCTTGGTGTTATTTGTTCTACTTAGGGATCTTATATTGACGTGGCTAATAGACTTGGATACAAGGAGTTTGTTAAACTGGTTGAGGTTAGTAAGTGCTTACCGACACTTACTTAGTTCTTTTCGGTTCTTTTTTATCAAACGATGTGGGGATTTCTTCCTGTAAGCTGTCGTTTCATCCTTTTTCATCACTTACTTCAGTTCATCGCTTACACGTGTTGTAAAAATTGTAGAACTTTGCTTGTTTTCTTATACAACAATGCATGTTATCCTACACTGTACAGCAAGCAGGATTGAAGAACATCCTTCATGTTCCAGTGAATAGACCTGTTCTCATGTTTTGGCCAACTGATGCGGCGATAAAAGCTTTGCCTGGCGACCTGATGGTACGACTGACTGAACCTTCACATCTGGAAGATCTGGCTCGATTTGTAAAATACCACGTTGTAACTCAAATTCATGTAAGTTAATCATTAAACTTAAACAAAGATTAAGAATTCCAACGCTTTGACGTAGGACTAACGCCCGAAAAGTCAGCTTTACAAACTCTGTATGGTGGCCAATTTACGTTATCAACTAAGTTGTTGAAAGCAAATAATTTTGTGTTACCCTCACTCTTCGCAGCACCACAATTTCTTTATGAATTTACCTCCTTTTTTCGTAAGTGAAAATGTCAATATCTCCAAGGTTGGTTTGAAAAAAAAACTCGCAGATATTTGTATTTGGAATTCACAATCACAAGACATGGAAATTAAAAAAAGAAAATCTTCCTACAATTCGGCATTAACTCGTGTCTGCCATACACCAACCACGAAGCAAATTTAGAGACAAAGGTTAATGTTTCTTTTGTAATTAAAGTTTTCTGTACAGGAACCTGATCACAAATGTATGAAGTAAATCGTATTTTTCCTGCAGGCCAAACAACTCGAACCAAACCAATTTACTTAGAATCAAAGTAACTTTTGCTGATGACTGCTTTACGTACTTAAATCTATACCAACTGCTAATCGATGGTCTCTTGAATCAATCCTTTCTTCGCAGTCTGATTTTAGTACCCAGTCCTTCTTGCGAAGTGGCGCAGGGTTAGAATTGCGAACATTTGAAGGAACCAGTTTGTTTGTATCTTGTAAAGGAGGAAAGGTGAGAAAATTGAAAAGTTTTATTGTATCGTTTTGTAGAATAGAAATGGACTACACTTGCCAGAGAAAGCGTATTATTATTATGTGGCCTTCCGCCCACGATTTAAATATGTTCCTGAGTTGCGAACTTCCACGCTTTCATTGTGTCACGATCTCAAATTTATCGGAGAGTCGTGGATCTTCACTAGGCCTGGTACGAAGAAGGTAGCAATTCTGAAGGAAGATCGAAAGTAGTGAACGAAATCACCAAAGTTTGAAGAATTGGGCGATTTTCTCATGCTAACAGAATAGGCTATTTTCAATATATAAAAATTCAAACTTGTCTCCGAGGCGGAGTGGAATAAGACAAAAGAAATCACATGGGGGCTGAGGGAGGAATGATTAATTTCTTTTGTTTTGTTCCCCCAAGCCTCGGAGCCATGTTAGAATATTGATATCTCGAAAATGGCCTATCCCACAAGGTTTTATTCAGTAGTGATGCTGTTAGGAGAAATAAGATGTTCATCGTTTGTAGGGTCAGATTATTCACACATGCTTGATCAATTACCTTTCTGATAACTTCGTCACTCAAACAGTTGAAAATTATGGCACAGCACACAAAAGGTGGCAGTTGCCCGTTTTAGTCTTCCAAATGGAAGAAAAAATCATTACTGCATCGTGCAATGTTGGGTTAGAAACAAGTCATCCCCAGTCCTTCGTTAATGTAAGTACTATCGTAGATCATCGGATAGTTCAGATGAGTCTTCTGTTTTTATTGCAGGGTGATCTTTATGTAAATGGTGACAGCAAGCTTGTTGCAAGAGACATACTCTTCAGTGGTGGTGTGGCTTTTGGAGTGGACACTGCGCTTATTCCTCTTGGATTTGGAGGCAACTGTGATGAGATCCAAGACACTAAAATGACGGTATAGAGCGCTTTTGGATTGAATATCTTTAAACTAAAATCAAAGTAATCGCAACAGCCAATCACAATTGTTGTGAGGAGCCAGTGAGAACTCAAAGTAAAAACAGTTTGCATTTGATTAGCTGAAAGATTGGCGCGAATTTTTTTAACCAATCACAGAGCGCAAGACAATACTATCCCGGATAACTTTCGACCCTCAATTTGAAGTTGCTCTTACCAACTGTTCAAGGGAACAATATTCAGGGAATAATTTTCTTTATACAGTCTTTTGCACATCTATGGGCCTGCAATCTGTCAGAATTATAACCACAATCCTGGCCATAAGTGTTTGGGACAACTTCAAAATACACACACAATACCTTTCCTATATACTCCCTTGTAGTTTTACTATACATGACCTTGCTACCCCCTTTCCCCCCCCCTCTCTCCTCCCCCCTCTCTCCTTCCCCCTCTCTCCTTCCCCCCCCCCCCACGTTTCACACACTTTTCTCCAAAGTGATGGCCGTTACGAAGGAAGTTTGAATGAACATTGCGAGAGGGAGGGGGAATGGGACTGCCTGGTGAGAAAGACGTGTGGTTTTCCCTTCTCTTCTCAGGTATGTCTAAGATTGCAGTTTCTGTGTGAACCTTTCCTTGGCTTATTATTTTCATATTTATCAATCCCCTCTTTCCAGAAATTTAAATTATTTAACTTCACTCTAAGGCGGCAACGCGCACTGTAGGCAATTTCAACCTCTCCAGTTTACCTGTGTTTGTTTAATTCTTATGAACTATCTTTCCTCTTCAGGGTCAGTGTGGAAATTGTTTCGTTCCTGTGAGCTGTCCACAAGAAACCACCCTTGTTGTGAGTAGTGTATAATAACTGTTACTAACAAGATTTTCAAATAAACCTTCGCGTGATATTCTTGTCAACTCTCTCTATTGATTGGGTTGGAACTGCAGCGTTCACGCTGATTTTTTCTTTTTTTTTTTTTCTTCTCTTTTTTTGCAGCACCTTTATTTATTTTTTTTTTTTTGTATGATTGTAACTGTTATTATTTTACTATCCTGTACTTGAGGAAAGAAGGATGGGTCAACATGTTTGTGGGCTCAAAACTGGTAATTTACCTCTCGAAAAAGTTACGGCGTAAAAGAAAAAGAAAACGTCATTTGTCGTAACCACCCGTCAAATATCGAGCGCCAAGGATCGGAAATGTAATAACGGAAAATGATCTTTCTGCATCTTAAAATTAAAAAAAAAAACCGTCTTTAATGCAAGAGGTAACTTTCAATGATTAGAATTGAATTGATATGTGTTCAGGGAAAGAGACATTAAAATATTCCCCTTTCTCCTCCAGGGTGTAACAAACCATAACTGTACCTACAATGGGGACTTGTTGGGATGTCAGCCCATCTGTTTACAGCGTCAACGACTTAGGAGATGCTGTAAAAACTTTTATGGACCTGATTGCGTGGGTAAGGTATCCCCTCCTGTAAATGTGCTCTTTTTCTGCAATTTATCAGGTTATTGTGGATATTTTTTTAAAATAGATTTTTGTCTCAAATGATATAGCTGCGGTTCTTTATTATACTCAAAGTTGCCTAACCTGGGTTACTTGATACGATCTCTAAAATGGAGTCAAGTTCCATGGTAGTGAGCGAAGTTAATCGGGCTTTGGTTCTTTGTTGTTGTTGTTGTTGTTGTTGTTGTTGTTGTTGTTGTTGTTGTTGTAGTCGTCCTTCAACAGTGACACCCTACTAGACTCAAAAGCCTTTCGCTTGCCGAGAAAAAAGTTTCAGGCGGCAATAACTCTCGCTTGTCACTTTTGAACTATCCTATATATGGCTTAGCAAAACAGAAATAGTTCCGTATGCGCTTGCTACAAGATCAACCACGACTGCACTAATTGCACCAATTTCATCATTTCTCCAAAGTACAGATTTCGAGGAGTTTTTGGTAGCTTTGTCATTAGAGCATCAGACCGCACAAAGTGTAGGTTTCCTCCTCGAGTCCTTGTAGGGACTCAGATTTTTCTATGTTCCTCCATAGTGATTCACTCATTGTTTAAGTCAGCGTCAAATTCAAACTCTGTCATGTTTTAACAGTGATTGTACTCTTGCTACAGCATGCCCAGGTGGTGTTCAGATGCCTTGCAGCAGGCGTGGCTTGTGTATCGATGGAGTGACAGGGAGTGGCCAGTGTGTGTGTTCAGCGCCTTATAACGGCACAGCTTGTGAACAATGTGTGGATCACACGGAGTCCTGTCCAGGTACGTAATAATCCACTTTCTTTTCTTTTCCACCATTAACACGGGGTGACCAAAAAATAATCTCTCCTTGCAATTTCAATACGACTATAAGCGGAAATGAGATGAGAAGGAAAAAAAAAGTCAAATATGGCAAGGCTTGATTGAGCACTAATCTCGCGGAAGGGTATGCATAAAACAAGTAATTTAGGGCTTTCTCTCTTTACAATGTATGGATGTAATTAAGAATAATTTGTAATTTCTTCTGTTCTTTTATCTCTTCTCTTTTAGCACCGTCAGTGGATTGTAAGACAGACAATGGTGGCTGTCACGTGTTCGCCACCTGCACTCAAACTGCCCCGAATCGTTTGACGTGCTCGTGTAAATCCGATTACCAAGGAGATGGATATTATTGCCAAATGACTGACTTGTGTGCGAGTGGCAATGGCGGGTGTGGTGAAAACGCAACCTGCTTGTTTACAGCACCAGTAAGTACGCAGAAACCACCTTTGAAGTCACAGTAGTCGCTGTCAGGAGCCAATTACCCGGAGCTTCCATCTTCCATACTGACCCTCTGAGCCAACCCTATCCCGTATCTTTCTATTTTTAGAAGCACCTCCCACGGCGGTTTTCGCGGGTGTTTTTATAATAGCCAACCATAAGAGAGCTGTCGTCTCTATTGTGTTACGTCTCTATTGTGTCACTTGCAGGCCGCACGAAATTATTTCAATAATGGCGGAAAGCGCGGAAAGATTAAAGAACCCCCGCATATATCTCAGTTCTAAAAATTAAAAGATACGGGACAGGGTTGACTCGAGGGTACAACTGAGATGGAAGCTCCGGCTAATGGGCTCCTGTCGCTGTCTAGTATTGTGGCTCAAGTTGTTTGCTCTCTTACCGACCCACACGGCAGGCTTAAGCTGGAAGATGTTCCCAGCTGACGAACACGGCATGTATCATGAAGATTCGTCTGAACAATTGGTAAACAAGTCCTAATTTGTTCCCTTACGAACAGGGGTGATGAAGTATATAGAAGTTTCACGTGGACTGCAAATCGTAAACTTAAAATACTAAGGGAAGATATTTCAAGACGCACAAGCTGAGAAGTGGTTTAATTCCTTTGATTTTACAGGATATATACTTCACCTCATTTTAGGTTTCAGGTAGAGCCCTGAAGTGTCTCCAAGTCGATTTTCTTCAGTTTGCTGTCCCTTTTTCCCGTTATTTTTGCTCTTCTCTTAAAAAAAAAAAGAAAAATGACTCTCAGAAACTGACCAATCCAGATGCATCTAACGCTACTACGATTTCCTTGAAACAAAAGTTAACATTTTCTTTTCAGGGACGAAAGCGCTGTGTATGTAAAGCAGGCTTTTACGAAGTAGGCTCCAGCTGTCGTGCTCACCGGCCAATGTCACCTTGCGCCATAAACCATGGTGGATGTTCTGTTCATGCTAACTGTATTGATAACGGTAACGTGTCATTTTGTACACTCTATTTGCCTCCTCGGCAAAGTTGTACGCACTTGGCTTAGCAAGCCAGTGACCTGCTCTTCTTACGAGGCACCTCTAGCTAGATTGTCCCGTAAAAACCTATGTTGACCAGAGCTGTCAATGAGTTTGAAAGTAGAAGGCAAATAAGAAGATTGGGTAGCCAGGTTGTCGTGGACGCCGTGTTTTTTCGTCAGATCACATGAACTACTCAGTAATAATATTCAAGGCGTTCCACGAAATTTGCTCAGAATTTTAAGCAAATTCTGAACGTAGAATCGATTGATTAACTTTTCTGAGTTCGACATCTCTTCAGCTAAATTCAGTTCTCATTTCATGATAATTTTGTTGTATTGAAATAAAATCTGATCTCTTTTTGAAAGCAGTTCAAGTAACAGGGCTGTGGTATAGCAGCGCCCGGTGGCCCCTGGCGTCTTACTTTTGCTCTTGGGCGACTCAGGAATCCTAGTTTTTTCATAAAAAGCATGTGCTGGGCACTCTGGATTTCAGCTTCAGAGCACTGGGCTCCCTTCAATTTTTCTTAGAGCACAGCTTTGAGTAATGTTTATTCATTTTGAATTGCAGGTGCAGTGGCCAGCTGTGCCTGCCGCATTGGTTTCGCTGGAGATGGCTTTTCCTGTGGAGGACCCATTTTAAATGTAAGCAGATTTTTTCTCTGTCTCTAACCCTTTCCTTTCCCCCCCCCCTCCTTCTCCCCCTCTCCCATCCCCCCTCCCCCAGCTCTTGTTTTCTGTGCCTTTCCCATTGGTCCTCATGATAAATCCCAATGTCTTTAGATCTTTTTGCTTTGAACGCTGCTCATTTTGGAAAGAATTTTGTTGCCATGATGTCGAATTCTCATAACAAGAGTTTTACTCTTAAAGCCAGGTTAGGGTTTTTCATTAAGTTGATTGTTTCTCTTTGCTTTTTAGGTCCTCAAGGAAACTCAGAACGCCACTGAATTCTACAAGGTATTACTTTTTTTTCGGTCAAAGAGCAAAATAATCTTTCGTATCATTCTTTTCGCCAATTAGCCTTTTAAAAGGAGGAGCGAGGTAGCGTTAAAAGCTTATGAACATACGCGGGCTCCCCAGTTTTTTTTTATTTAGGCTTATCTCTGGTCTATCATCCATTCCCTTGGGAGAAATTTATTTCTTTACAGAACCAAAAACCCAGGATGGCCAAACTGAGCGCTCGCTCGTTAAAGATGCGCCCGTAATGATCTAGCCCATAATATGGTGTTACGGAATGATTTTCAATGGTTTTAATGGATTATCTTATCAGTTACGAACTTTCATTTTGTTCATAACAGATGAGTTAGTTAGGTCTGTGATATATCAATGGCTTACTTTTTGCTTTGCTGGTAACTTCAGGCGCTCTACCATCTGAGTAGTCTCAGTACAGAGGCATCATTTTTGTACCAAGACCTGGCGTCCTTATCCAAATCCTTCACAGTGTTTGTTCCTGTAAATAGTGCGGTTCACAACAAGGTGACAGTCATTGCATTGTTTCTTTACAAAGTTTTCCTTAAATTCGTCATACTTGCTGTGTTCCATAGTTACTCTGAGAAAAAAAGAGTCGAAAGTGGAAACAAGTTTTCGATGATATTCCACGTGTTTTTCTTACTTCCGCAGAAATTTACGCTGTATTATTTGAAGAATCACATCGTGTCCGGAAGGCATCCATTGAACAATATAAATGACGACTTAACGATGACAACATTGGCTGGATCTGAACTTCACATTAAAAAGCTGAGAAATGTGAGATTTACAAACTAGACGAGTGTACCCAACTCCTAATCATTCGCTCTGACGAAGGGCTAACGCTCGAAACGTCAGCTTGATAAAACTGCAGCACCACAGTTTCCTTAGAATCTTGCCCTTATTATTCATTTGCCCTACTAGATTAGCTTGCTTGGCGAGTATTACCTTAGCAACAGTAGCCTGCTGTAAACGCGAATGATGATTTTGAAGGAAAATTTGGTGAGCTTGAACCAAATTGACCGTACCTACTCCTCCCATTGCTCAATATTCCACTGCTCGTTCGCACCGCGCATTATTTCCCGCGCAACTTTCCCGCGCAACTTTCCCGCGCAACTTTCCCGCGCAACTTTCCCGCGCAACTTTCCCGCGCAGGTTAAGAAGTGGCATCCTTTTCTAAGTTGCCAAAGATCGTGAGAGAGTTTTACGTTTTATTATTCGAACTGTAATTTGCTCTGTTACGTGTACCTAGAGCAATTCCTGGTGCTAACCAAGAAGTTATCCTCAGAAATTAGGTTTTGTGTCATAGTGACCCCTGTTTTTTATTTATACTTAGGGAGAAATAGTCGTGAATGGTGTCGCTCATGTCAAAGGAGACCTCCCTGCAACAAATGGTCTTCTACATTTCATTGACCAGATGATACCGGTAAGTAAATAAATGACTTATTGACTCTGATATTAACCAATAAAATGTCACCAAAATATTTAGGTGTGTTGGAATTGCGCGTTAACCAGGGGGTAAGGGTAGTTGCTAAAATAAATTAATTGACAGTCGATATATTGAAATAAGTCGTTATATTATTTGTGAGTCGTATTCGCAAAATAGCAAAATGTTGATGGATGATAGAATTTAATTCCTGTTTGGAAATAGGTTTTTTGGGGATCATAATTTGATAGCAATTTTGCACGCCACACTTTTTGCGAGTCCTTTGCATTTGATATTTGAACATGATTTTTTCACAGTATGTTGGACCTACTCCGCCTGCTACCCCAGTAGAACCAACCAGACGAACAGAACCAGGAACAGAACCAGCCACAGAAACAACCACAGAAACATCAGGAAAACCAACCACGGTATGTTTCAATCACTTTTTTCCACTCGCGTCGAAGAGAATAGATCCACTTTTGTCGCCGAGGATGCATGCAGTCACAAGCGTTACATTCTTTGTCGTAAATAACAGCTCGACTTTTATCGAGGATGCAGTCACATTTACGTTTAAACTCTAAATTTACAATTCCACTTGGAAGTTAAAGAAAAAAATTGACCTCTGTTCATATTCTCCCGTTCACTCCAAAACACGTTTCTCAGTCCAAGTGTCTAAGTAGCCAAGCCTGCGAGCTTGCAGCCGGACCTCTAGCTAGTTTCCAGTTTCTACAGTTCAAACTCGCGGAACTCCGCGACAACTACCGACAGTCAAACTCGTGTCCAACTGAAGTAGCGTGTCTCGTGTTTTTAACCTTTTTTTCACTTATAGAAAAAGACAACGAGAGAAACAACAGCTTCAGCGGTTGGACCCAAGGTACTGATATTTTTAATGTGGTCTGGGGAAATGTCTAAAATTTATTGGAAAAAACTGTAGGGGGGGTGAAGAGAAATTAAGGCAAAGGGTAATCGTAGGCACAGTCAGGCCTTCAGCCGGTGTGGAAGCATCTCTGTGTAGGGTAAAAATAATTTGAATATATAAACAAAGTTGAAATGGTAAATTGGCCACCGTAACGATTACAAAAGCTGACGTTTTCGAGCGTTAGTCCTTCGTCGGAGCGAATGTAGGGTAAAAATGCCTGACGTTTGTCTAGAAATTATTCCCTTTTTTTTTAATTTTGAAATCGCTACAAACTTTTCCCTATGGGAACTGCTGAAAACAGAAAAAATTTCATTGTTCACCTCCATAGTTTCTGCTTTCACCTCACAAATACGCTTCCAGTTTTTTTCCAATCTTCCACAGTAGTTTCTTATCTTATCATATCGTTCTTTGTCAAATAACTCCTTTATTCTTTTAATCTTTTATGACTTTACTTTTTTTAGAGTGGAGGCGATAGTGCTGCAAGAAAGAAGGTACTGTTTTGTTTTATTGTTGTTGTTGTTGTTGTTGTTGTTGTTTTTAGTTGTTCGTTAGTTTGTGTTTTTGAAACTTTATGAGGTTTCCAACCTCATTTTAACTTTAATTTTGTTCCTTTCTTTCTTTCTTTGTTTGTTTTTTTTTTTTGTCTAAGGAGAGAGATGCTATTGGTAGAGGAGCTATTGCTGGTATCATCATTGGTATCATAATATTTGTGATGGTGATCGCTGTGTTAGTGTACTTTGCAAGAAAGAATGGCTTCCCTTCCCGCCGAGCATTTTACAAAAAGGTAATTGACCGTTGGTGAAGAGAAATTAAGAAAATTCGGAGCTTAAAATAAAATACTTCATGGCTTCTCCTTGAAAGGAGTCTGGGATCGTATTTCTTTTCCTTCGCTCTGTTCTGTAATTAGTAGACAACAGTTGCGTTTCCCTCTCAACCAACCAAAAAATAAAACTAAGCACGACCAAATTATTTGCGCTTTTTCATCTTCCAAGCTTTTAACATCCTCGTGATAGAACGCTTCTCGATTGAGGGTCATAAAACCAAAACCAAATTCATCACATTGTCCAGTCAGAAATAAGGAAAATACTTTGAAGAGCCAATGAGAACTCAAAGCATAAACAACCAATCGGCATAAAGCGCAGGAAAACGCAAACGACTAAGTAAAGATTCGTCTGATTGGTCGAGAGAGTGTGGCGCGAGTTTTCTGGATCAATCACAGAGCAGAGCAGAGTAAAGCATTGAATCCCGTATTACTTTCGACACTCAGTTAAAACATTGCCGTATTTGGCCTCTGTTATGGTTACCGATGGTAATTCATTTGGGTTTGGTTTCATGACACCAAGTCTAAAAGCGTCTTTTTGGAGCACCTATCTCGTCTTTGTGAAGTAATTTCTAATGTCCTCTGTTTCTTAGCATGCAGACACTGTGCAGTTTAGTAACGAAGCTTACAATGAACATTCCATGATGTCATTTGATAATGCTCTGTTTAATAACATGGAGGACCCGGTGCAAATGCCTCCACTGGACATACCCATTGACGATAAACATCCTCTACAGGTATGTTAAGGGGGGGACCGCCACGGTTACGAGCTGAAGACAGATTTGGTGCCAAGCTGTAATTAATCGCATCTTTGTCAGAATAAAGTTCCTGAGTTTGATATCAGTTCAATATCATTTGCGTCATTTTTTATTGATTATCGGGTTATTGATTTCTTTTTATTTATTTATTTATTTATATAAATTTAATTCCTTGTTTTGTTGTTGTGTATCACACGCCATATTTATCTTGTAGTTCTTTAGTGGGAATTTAGAGGAATAGAACTTAGACGCTTGAAGTAGAGACAATTCTATTGAGAAGAAAAATTAATGGGAAAATCATCAGAGAAATAGTTAAAGCAAAGTTGTTGGAAAAAGGATTTCATAAATATTTAACCGTGTTTTGAATTTTAAAAGCTAGCCAAATATTTAGAAAAGCACAAGTTTAAAAACTCTGGTCCAGTATTTTTCTTTTTGTCAAAAGCTTTTTCAAAGGAAAGGGAATGGTAAGTATTTTTGGTACCATAGCAGAGTAAATTATGTAAGGATTGCTAGTAAGTTGTGCTGCTTTTTTTTCGCAGGATTCAGGGGAACAACACCTCGATTTTGACAATCCACTCTATCGTGAAATGACCGGTTTGGACCTGCCACAAAATCCAAATGACATATTTTTCTTGCCTGACTCTAATACGGTACGTTATCTTATAACAATAGTAAATTTTAGGGGATATACCAGCTACTTAAATGTTTCTACAGTAGTTGGTTTTGCTTCGCCAGAGTAATGATGGTGTACTCGGTGTAGCAGGCCTTTCCGTTTCCATTTATCCATGTGGGTGAGTCCTTGCCGGAGCGGAAACCGTAGGTCAGAGCAGGGGGGCGGAAGGGAGCAAAAAAAGTGACGGGTGGGAGGGGGGGAGATTCTTGCAAAAGTTCCACGCGTAACGGTAGATTTTGATTTTGAGGTGAGTTTTCTGAGTTTTTATGTACACGTTTTTGTTAATTTTTTTTCTACTTTATTTTTGCAGGCATCGTCTGATACAGGAGGCAAAAATTTTTCCAACCCGTTCTACAATGAAAAAAGGACTGTAAAGGTAGACATAAAAACATTTCTGATAACTTTGAGAACTTACGGTGCTAACCATTGGTCGGAAATGGCCAGCCAAACTTGTTTATTCAATATCAATTTTTTTTTATGGTATCAGTTTTAAAATTTCCAAAATGTTTAGTATAGACTCCTAAGTAAAAGACAGTGCAACTCAAAGATTTGCCGGTTTGGTGGATCAGTCCCCATTTCAGGATGTCACGCAACGACACTTTTCGTTTATTGCGTGACAATCTTGAAACTGCAGCAACGGAAACTATCGTGCAGCTTGCTTGATTACGCACACGCTGAAGATATTCCCTAATTTTTGCAGACCAACAACAAAATAACATATATTTGGTGCTATTGGTATTGTCACCCAGTTACTGTGTTAACCATCCCACTTGCTGCTGATTTGGAGTGACGGGGGGGAGGGCAGGGTAACGATCGCCTTTTCTAACAAGTTTCGAAAAGGTTAAGTTACTACGTTTGTTTTAAGTGATAGTCAGGGACGCTCCCCAACCCACCCCTATCCGGTGCGTTCCCCAACCCTTCCCCTACACCCACTTCTTTCGCACCTCAAGATCTGGATCCACTACCTAATCAACTTTATTTTTTCTTTTCAGTTTAACCTAGACCCCCAGTATCTTCCAGGTCGAGAAGACACATGTAAGTAACCCTTTGGGACTCACAAACGGGTACACTCTGTTGTCTCCTACATGCAGTAATGACGTGGAGAGTTTTATGAATCCTTTACAGCCTAAGATCAGTATGCATATTCTCCATACTGTTCTCTATACATTTCCTAAGGTGCTGCAAAGGAGAATTTGTTTAACAATCATGTTTTCCAGTTAGTAATAATTTCCTTTATTCTCGTGACCTTAATGTAGGTTCAGGGTGATGTTGTAGCCAGAAATTATGTGCTTATCAGACTTGGGGTTAAACAAAAAGTTTACAAAACTCACACTCGAATGAGAGAAAGGGAGGGGAAAAATGGTATCATACTGAAAGGCAACTCTTGTCCTAGCACAGGATTACATAAGTGAGAATGGTTTTGTAGAAAGACAAAAAAAAGTCATTAACTGTATGAACAATCGTGTGGGAATAAGACTTTTGAAAAATATTATTTGTGATTAGGCCCTGCGCTCTAAAATGGCGTAATTAAAATACTGATTCACTTTTGCGATGCCTAACTTGTTGCTTCATTTAATTTTAGGCTAAGCTAGCTGTTTGGTTATACGGAGATAACAGTGGTAAGCTCTTTTTTTTCCTATTAAACGTAGAAAAGCAAATGTTAGTTGGCCGCTAAATTTTCCAATCGCAGCGTGCGTATCAAATAGTAGATTTATCACGTTACTTTTATCATTTTACTTTCCAGGTTTTCCGCTGTTGCTGGTCAAAGTTGAAGGGACAGTTAGTAACGAGAGATATACTTTTGTGCCATGAGTATCGTTAAGTTAGTTAAATGTTTACATGCTTTCATTTTTTGGTTCCTTTTTCCACTGACATGTAAATGTTGTGTTGATCTTCTGGTTTTTTTTTTTTTTTCGTTTTGTGTGGTTTTTTTCCGTCAGTTATGCAAACTAAATTTTAGATTTGCAAGGATGCCTCGAATTGCCGCAACCCCCGGATTTTGATGATGCTATGTAAACACGGAAAAAGTCCTCTTTTGCATAAATGTGTTATCCCCCCCGTCACTCAATTGGCTCTATATTTCTTTTGTGCAAATCTAGTACTTGTTTCAGGCTGAAATAATGCGTGGATATTTAACACTTTGAAAGGATTATCAGATTTTAAAGATGCTAGTCACGGTGTTGTACAAATTTTCTGTGTAGTTAAGTATGCAATTTTGTCTTTTTTCTTTATAATTGACGAAAATGTTAAAGTAATAACTTATTTTTTTTTAGGATACTGTAGCACTCACTTAAAAAACAAACAAACAAGCAAAAAAGCTAAACAAAACCCAATTAAAACAGAAACAGAACCTTACAATGTTCAATGCAACGTTGGAAGTACACCAGGTACTATTTAATGTTAAAAATGGCAGCGATTTTAACTCCAGGAGGCCCCTCGTCGTGCACGATAAAGGTAGTCAAAAATAGCGACCGCTCAAAATTAAGGAGAGGGTGGTTGCTTAGGGGATTATAAAAGTAATCCTAAGGGCTCTCTAGAAGGGTTAAGTCAATCAATTGAAAACGGGCGTCTTATAATTAAAATAAAGTGTATTGTTTTTATACAGTATTCTACAGCACGATAGGATCAAGCTGATAGACGGAATTGACGAGTAGTTTTTAATTGAGAATCGAAAGTTATCCGAGGTTTTTTTTTTTTTTTTTTTTTCCTTTGGTTTATTTTGCTCTTTGATTAGTCCAGGAAACCGCATGGGTTGTTTGCGTCAGCTAATTTGGCGAATTGGGATTGGTGATTGGTAGATCCCCCATGTGTTGACCTAATATGGGAGTGATTGAAAGTAACTTATGGGGATTCCCTTTGGAATAACCCTTTTTCAGAAAGTGAGTCTCTTAGCCTGATTCTATTAAGCTGTCCAGTGTATGTTTTTTAAATATTTAAATAAAGCAATGTCAGGTGTTTCTGTGCCTTGACTTCTTGCAAAACGTTTTGTACATTTAGGTAGATTTGTCACATGGGGGAATTACAAGCCACAAGGTGTTGAAATTTTTTAAACATTTTACTTGACATGATTAAATGGTAATGGAGACTTTTTTTTTCTCCAAAGCTGATTGAATTCAGTTGATTTCTTTTGAAAAAAAAATTGCGTTTTCACTGATTTAGTCGCAGTTTAAAATATATGATGTATGCGGAAGCTTGGCTAAAAGCTAGATCGAGCGGAGAAAAGGCAGAAAAAGAATCTGTTAAGTTCACAGAGCCGATACGATTCACCAAAGTTTTAACCTTAATGGCTTGGTAATTTGTGACAAAGATGTGAACCCAGGAGATACATTAGCCTTTACTTATTAGTAATAGCCCATTTCCGAATTGCATTAAGCCTCATTTTCAAAGCGAGTCCTGGTGCTCATCCTTTCGTATGGTAATAAGTTTTCATTCACATGCAAATTAAACTCATTTTCATACGTGTGGTTGAGCACCAGGCCTCGTTTTGAAAAAGAGGCCAAACGTAATTCAGAAATGGCCTATATTCTCCCTACAGTGAGCGGTGCAATGCCTATCATGTTTGTACGATTGGATCAACTGATAATTCCCGATATCGTAAGGAGAAATTCTGTCTTGATCACTCAAGGGAGTAACAGGGCCAACTCGTGAAAGCCAGTTGTATCAGCGAGAATTATCTCAGACGCGCTTTGAGGCTGTCTTTATAAAGTTATGTTTGAGAAATAAAATGCATATGATGTATATGTGCCTTAAAGCTACAAGCATTAAAAGCTTCAAATCTGTAAAACAAGTTTACAGATGATTAATGTAGTTTACTCTAAGTTCAAAATAAATTAATTCAAATCAAAGGCAGAAGTTGAAGGTATAGTTTTTTTTTAAAAAAAAATTGCGTTGTAAACTCAATAAAATTACGTTCTCAGTCAAACTCTTCATTTTATTAACAAATGATGTTCTTTCGCCATTTTTTTGAGCGGATAGGAAAAGCACCAACACACCCATCAACAAGAAGCAGGTGGTGGCTGAAAAGCATGGAAGAATATGCCATTCAATGTCAAAATATACACTTTTATTGGGATCAATGTCAGTGTCTGTGCACCTACCCACCCCTCCCCTATCCCAGCATTTATCCTACCCTGTTATCAGGTGACTATTGTGGTGTCAGGGGAGGGGTGGGTGCACAGAAAAGGTATAAAAAGCCCGCCGTAAAGAAAAGCGAAAAACACAAAAACGAAGCAAAATATACCCCCAGCGCCGCGTGAGTTCTGGAAAGCAGCCCTCTCTTCGTCAATCTCGTGTTGCGGCTGCACGGAATCCAAACGGTGCCAAGATATCTTCCTCGCTGTTGCCATAGATTTGGCGCGACGGATTTCGATGAGGAAAATGAAGAGCTCATTGTCTCAGGACGGGGAATTTAGAATTGGGTTTTCGAAAAAGTGAGACGACGGAATTTCGTTCTTTTCCTTTCTCTGTGACTTGGACAACCGTTTATTTTGTTGCCTAGAAGATAAGTTTGTAAATTCACAGGTGCATTTGTGCGTTTTCCGGAAACAATGTTTTTTGTTATGAAATGAAAAGAAGTAATGCTTGTTAACAGGATCAGTCGCTCAGCAGCGAGAGGCTCCTATGATAATCCTTATCCCGTAAAAAGTCTATCTCAATTAGGGAACAATAGCCATTGCATATAGCCAATGCTCTCCACTTCACCATAATTTTTTCTCTTTAGAGGAAGGCGTTTTTAAAACGAGGAAAGGGAAATTAAAGAAAAGAAGACGGGTAAGCGAGAAACAGATCTTCGAGTGAAAGCAATATTTCAACGTTGAAATAGCAAATAATTTTTTTTTCCTCGTTGCGTGGTTTCCTGCATTCAAAAGTTTCTCTCTTCTAAAAACTTAGCTCGTATACACTTCGGAGGCCTCTCTAAGTTAATTTCGTCTTTTTTCCTACTGGCTCACGTTCACATGGTGACAGGTTGTGCCGTGTTAAACAAGGCAAGAAGGTAACGTCAACAAGTCAGGCTTTCGGGGTTCGGCTAGCTTTCGTGTAACCAGCACGTACCCGCCTCCCGGTTAGCTCAATTGGTTAGAGCGCTGGACTGTTGTGCGGGAGGTCGAGGTCGATGGTTCGAGCGCCGGCCGGACCAACACTCAAGGTCTTAAAATAACTGAGGAGAATGTGCTACCTTTCTATAATTAATATCAAGAAATGGATAGACATTCTAGTCTTCTCGGATGAGGACGAATAAACCGTAGGTCTCGTCTCCTGCATCTATGAATTAGTCAATTTGGTTAGGCAGGGGACGTTAAAGAACCCACTCACGAGATTACTGTGATGTGGTCTGGCCTGTTTATTGGGAATTGGGGGGAGGGGGCATCTTCAAATAAGTTTCCTTCGATTGTTTGTAAACTGCTGATGCAGTCTGGCCAAAGTCCCCCGAAAAGTGTTGTGATGCGCATTTGATCATAACCACATGTTAATTTGCGCAATATAAATATTCAATTATTATTATTATTATTATTATTATTATTATTATTATTATTATTATTATTACCCTCCCACGAGGAGAATTGTCTTTCCCTCCCATCCAATTCTCTTCGAACTCTTCTCAATCTTACACTTTGGGTACCTGTAAAAATGGTCCTCAAAGTCTGAGCTGTAATGCAATTTTTAGCAAGGTTTCTTGTTCCAATGGATCTGAACTTAAGAAGAAGTAATCTCTCAATTCGTCAGAAATATTTGAAATTCCAACGTGTTATTTCATTTCCGCTTCCTGTGAATGAAATTTTCGCGGGAAGCCAGACTCAAGGGAAGTCACGCTTTCACGAGCCATATTAGGCAAGCTATTGTTCTGAGGTTCCGCCGGTCGTCCTGCCCTGTGATTGGTTGTTGGCCGTAAGCCGTGCCTGTATACAAACGGGAGCAGAGGATAACATTAAGAGAAATTTTCAAGAAAAAAAATAGATAAATTTCTCTATACTGGAGCTTCTTTCTCAAGCAGTATGGAGGAGAAGGTGGAGAAGAAAAGTCCAGTCAAGTAAGGAAGCTTTTGGTAGCGTTTTTAAGTCGAAGTTTGATACGATTACAGCGCGTGCATCAAGTCGAATTTGTCCCTTGAATCCTAGTGTTTTTGTTGGAAAACGAGCACTGCAAAACTATTGCGAGATTGTCATTCATTTAAGCTATCAAGAGTGAAAGGAAATGAAATGCTGGAGTCTAAGGTGTTAGTAGATATGAATATCTTTTCCTTTCATCAGAGAGGTGACGAGAAGTTTTAGAAAATAAAGTTCATCGAGCAATCGAATTACTCGTGTGCAAGCTTAGAGCAATTGAAATTTCTCGAGTGTTTGAACTATTTTGTCTCACCGCAGGATTCGTAAAGTGTTAAGGCCGAGCACAGATGAGAATTACTGGGACTGTAGTGTTTGTACGTACAGAAATGGAGCCGAAGCCTTTAAATGTGCGATGTGCGATGTTAGGAAGGGAACATCCACAAGGTAACGCGTGGCAAATAGAGTATTTGTTTGTTCTCCGTAATTACTGTCTGGAGGACAGAAAATTACGGTCGCAATGTGTTTGCCATGCTTCACGCATCTGGAGCATGTTTTTGTTAAGTTCTGAATGAAAATGGCAAATAAACATTAGGGAGAATCATTTCAAAAGGTGAAAGAAAGAAAAAAATTGCAATTCGATCTGGTTTTTGTGGATTATACAAAACCAAACACCATGTGCATGAGAATCGAACACGATCTACCATACGTCAACTTCAAAAGATTCGAAACAGATGCCTGGTTGAATCTTTGGATTTTTGTGGTCAATCTTTCGCCTTTTGTAGTTATTGCACTTTCAATAGATGCGTGACTCATTTCATGATTACAAGAGACTTTTTGTTACTCTATGATGGCCTCGAAACGTTACTTTTGTGGTGTATCAATAGCTCCTCACCCGACCCTCCTCGGAATGTACATGTTGTGATGCTGTCTGGAAAATCCAGACTGTTTTGTCGTAGTGATGCCATAGCTTAATTAATTTGTTTATAGTTTTATTTGTTAGATAAAGGATATGATGAGGCTGAGTGGGAAGTACTTTTTTCTCCTGTTTGCTCTTCCTCTTAGTACCCATTTGGCATGACTGAAATTTCTGCTGGGAATTAATTTTTTTCAATTTCCTGTCTGAAGGGGCAGAATTTAAATTGGACAGGAAGTGATTTAATTCGTTTTTACTTCTCAGAGAGTTTTAAAGATGAGGGCTATGCGGTAGATAATTCCTAGATGGACAATTTGACTTATTTTGAATAAAAAGCAACATGTGACTCATTCACAGAGTTTTTTTATTTGACTGAAGCAAGGAAATTGTTGTGGTATCTTCTTTATGTGGATCAAAGATTAAAGCTTATTTAATCAAATTATGAAATTGTCATGTTGGTAATAATTGGATCTTGGAAGTTAAATCAGTGTGTGACAATTAATGTTTATTTTTTTTCATTGTATTACCAGGAAACCTAAACTTAATTCTCAGTTAGTAGCTCAGCAAGTCGCTCAACAGTTTGTTACATCACCTCCTCCCTTAAAAAAGGCTGTGACTAAAAGACCTTTTAAAAAGTTAAGGTAAGCTACACAAATTATAATTGAGCATTTTCTGTAAAAAGTCTTTTCTTGATTATGAGCTTTTTTATGTACTGTGGGCTTGTACAGAAATCAAATGGCTTTCCACATTGGTGAACCTCATACTTGTTTTTGTAGCACACATCTTGGGTGGGATGTCAGGCTGTCACAAGTTAGCCTCAAGCTCTCTCAAGTTGTCTTGATAGTCTCCTGACTCATCAATGTCTTGTTGTGGTGCAGGGAATTGTTTTGATTATCATTTTTCTGTTCACACACCTTTTCTGAAAAGTAGGTGGCTCAGAAGTCAAAATAGCCACCAGTTGGCACTAAATGAGAACCTTTAGCCTCTGATACTGCTTTGCTATTCCTATTTTGTACCATTTTTTCACTTGTTCCAAACCCTGTATTGTTACTTTATTCAAGATACCAGCAAAAAATGTGGGAGGAAAGTATCCAACATGTGCCCACACAAATCCTTTCCCACATGAGAATGTGAAATGATACATAGTAACCTGTATTTAAATTATTGAATTTTGCAGGCCTCGACTCAAAAACATTGACAGAAGCAGTGCACAGCACATGGCTGTCACTGTAGGAAACATCACTGTGATTATAACAGATTATAAACTTTTAAAACCTGAAAATTCACCATCTGTCACACCAGACAGGAATTCGCCCAGACCACTGTCAGAAGATGGTACAGACCCAGGACCTTCTCTTGGCTCTGAATTTACAAGTAATGGAGTAAATAATCAGGATGAGAGCTCCTGACATTAGAATTATTTTTATATTGATACAGTAATTATTAGGAACAATTTGTATTTTTTGTCATTAGAGGAGAACAAGAACCTTTTTCTGACAAACAAAATCCCCTTTAAAAGCTGCTGGTGCACCTTACAGACACCTCTCTTAGATTGCTTTCTCCCCAAGATGGAACAGTTTAGTTGGTGCTGCCATTTAAATGTTCAATTTGCTGAAATATTTTCTTAGAATTGAGACAGAAAGTTGTGTTTTAGAGAGAATCGATGCAATGTATATCTCTTTCCAACAAGTCTCAAAGCACACTGTTAAATTATCCTGATCAAGTGACTGAATGTGTGCATTGGTTTTTTCTCACTAATAATAATAATTATTAAGACACTAGGATGATGTTAAGTGGTCCTAAAGATACATGCAAAGTCATACAGGAAGACTGTAGCACATGTATGCAATAGTGTGCATTTCAATTGAATATCATCAAAACAAGACCAAAGTCATCTCAGCAACCAATCAGAGAAGAGTAAAATAGTGCAAAGGAAAGGGACGAAGACCACAGTTATCACAACAACCAGTCAGAGAAAAGTAAAATAACACAAATTGCCAGGAGTGCAAGTAGAAACAAGCAAACTGGCTGAAGTACAGAAAAAAGCAAGCGAGAGAGTCCTTATTGGTTTGTGCTCTCTTGCACCTTCCTTCTCGGTTTGTACCTGGCAGGCAAGCTAGTCAGCTTTCAAAATGTGATCACTTAAATTGAAGGGGGGGGGAGGGTAGTTGAAAATAATGCAGTTTTAAGTACTTGTGAAAAGCTGTGAAAGGTTTTAATTACATTGTACTGCTTGTTTTCGGATTGTAGTAACTCATTAATTTAGTATGTTCTGTTCGTGGTCATTTGTAGAAGGTATGAAAAGGTGGGCATGACTTCTGTTTACAAGATATAGATAGGAATTGATTCATAAAATAACTGAGATTAGAAAATTTTACATCAAGAAACAATGATTCCAGCTCAAGTTGCATATCCAAAGAGAAAATAAAAGATTACAAAAATTCTTTTTTTTAAATTATTTGCTTATATTGCTCAAGTATTAGAATGTTACTAAATTTTTGTTATTGTGCTGTTATTTTGTTTCATGGGGTAATACACAACTTGTGTTATGGCTTTTGCCTGTAAATAACTGACATTACATCACATTACATGAAATAACATTTTTACTATTTCTCTTCAGACCTTTTCTTCTCATATTAAGATGTCAAAGTCCTTGATAGCCATACAAACTTTAAAAGAATGAAACAAATTATCACAATTGTCTTTAAGTGTGCTCACTTCTTTTCTGTTGATAAATCAACCCTTTGAAAAATATATAAAAAATGAGAGGCCGTACTGCAGCTTTCACTTGGGCTTCTTAAGAGTAACTGGGAATAGAGCATTAGCACTATTATTATGGGAGCACCACAGAAACACTAGGTACATTGCGTTGCATGAATGTTGTGCAAAAAGTCTGTTTGTTTTTCTGTATGCAAATATGGGTTACATGATTGGTGTTACATAGAGTGGATTCAATCATCAAGGTAAGGCATAAAAGTGTTTTCTTTGCCACCTTGCATTGCATGACAGTGTTTACACTGTTGTAATCAGCACCTGTAGAGAAATGTCAGAAGTGCCTTTTGAGGAAGGTAGATGATGACTGCTTGGCATTCTAAGACTTGGGTATTTCCACAGGTAGCCCAAGTAAAACATTAAATGTTTTTGGGGGGGGTGTAAGAGGATTCATATTTAAAGTCCCTATGACACCTATTTTTATAGATGGTATGTAGGGGGGTGCCTAGTAAGATTTACGGGTGATTCTGATGTATCTTTGTTATTTTAAAAGGCGATAAAAGTCTGAAACTGTATCTAACCTAGGCTGCCTGTATCTCTTTAGCAGCGTTAAAGAGTACTGGAACCTGTGACATAACGGTAGTAACAGCAAGTTTATCAAAAAAGCAAAGTGAGTGTGGAAGCTACTGTTTACACTTTTTAGCCAAAAAATGCCATTTCGATGTGTAGTTTGGGGTTTTTCAAATACCCCTGACTCAATGAACATTATTTCTCTCCCGAAGATTCCGACTGTGACGTCATGGCGCCCAGTCCCTCTTTGCTCGCCCAGACATTTTATCTGCGGATTAAAGAGCTTGATAAAAAATTCAAAAAATGGCGAAATATCKKKAAWWWTMSKAAAAKKWTWA